TTTTATCCATAATTCATCGCCCGATAATAACTTGACACCGACCGTACAGCACCCTATCGACGCGTTCAACAGGGACGAACTTTAACACGTGTTTGGGGCGCTGGTCATAAAAGTAAGAATGTTTTCACTTCATTTGCATATTCAGTTTTGTTCCCGTGATTCTACGACATTTTTAATACTTTATTTCCGATGAGTGAATGCTATAAAATCGTTAAATATTAAATACAAATATGCTTTTGTTCTCAGGTGTCGATAGTACTTAAGTGTCGTGCGCATGTTCATTTGTTTGCAACTCCAAGATGTAAAACGTGGAATACATATGGACCGGAAGCCATACTGTTGGAGGTCTGTTTGTTCGTTACAAATCTACGGTAATAGTTCTGGATGGTTATCATCTGTATGATCGAATTGAATAAATTGAATTTGACAAAAACAGGCACAAATAATAGTATATTATAATTCGCCACGGTCGTTTGAATTTGGAACATAACAATTCTCCAAATAACGTCCACCTTAGTGATATCAGTAAGTTTGATTTTTGTTTTTGTCACCATTCTGTAGGATATTTGACTGATAGCCATGGTGACGAATTTCAAAGAATGAAGTTTCCAAGCAGCCTATATTCTCAGACCAGTGATACAATATTGTATTACTAGTCTGAGCTATGTTCCAGCAACGTTTCGCAAACATGACATCTTTTACAGAGATTAAATTATATTAAAACTATAATGCGACAACAATTAATGCAAACTAATCAATCAAACAACGTGGATACGGATTTGCATTATGAAAACGTTGCGACACAGACCCAACGAACATAATGGTAGGATCACAGTCCCTCTATACAGAAATCATGATTAAAAAATTTATCAAAAATTGTGACCGGCTGTGTATTGATCACGTGACAATGCTTTGCCCATACCCGTAACGCGCCTTTGCCAAGGAAGGAGGCCAATTCACACATTATACAATGACAGTTTCCAGACCGGAATAGAGGGACTGTGGAATCAACAATATTTCCAATAAATGTTGTCCCCCCCCCCCCGATTCATCCTGGCGATGACCTCTGGTGCCTGCAATGTACACTATATAACAGTGATATTTTAATTGTCTGTAAAGAAATACATTCAGAATATAAATTTTAATATATTTTTAAATAACAAGACATCAAAAGTAACGGATACAAAATAATGTCGCCGTTCCCATGCAGCGAATCGGTCGGTCATTATTCAACCGGTCGAGAGGTCGTCACTTGGCTATATTCCAGCCACACTATTTGTTGAAACTTTGTTCACTGACATATATTATTATTATGAACATGTACAAATAACCGAAAAGACCCCATAACAATTCAATAAAATGATTATGAAACGTCCCAAAATGAAAACAAGATTTTGATTTTTGCCGTTCTTATTGTTAAAAACTAAATGTCGCCACCACAGGAATAACTTCGAGAATCACAGCTAAAATCTAAATTATGAAATCATGAATTGAAATTACGTCAGAAACCAAAATGTTAGAATCCAGAAAAAATTCACTTGACCGGCTGTCATTGGCCACGGATCTGCAGCACCATGCTTTTCACCAGATTTCATGATTGGTTTATCATCTAATCCAGTCAATATGTGCGTGCCAACTAGTAAAAAAAATGAATCTAAACAGCTTCGGAACTTTAATAGCTTTGAATTCGTAAAAAGAGTGTTATTATGACGAAGGACTCATGTTAACACATTTTTTTCGAATAGAATCTGTTCAGACCCAAGGCAGTCATATAACAGTTCCTCGGTCTTTACGCCCCTCCATTAAAATGCCTTTATTTCGTTACGGTGTTTAATTCTGCAGCTTATCGTGATGTCACATGACGCCTATATATTTGTATTTTAATTTTGTTTCACTTTATGTGTGCAAGTTAATTTATTCAGCAATATATAATGCTTTTCTCCCAAACATCATCGGTTTCAGAAAAATCATTACATAACCATTGTACGGCACCCGAAGAGGGCCACGACTTTGTGTTTTCATTATTCATTTGCCACTTTATCCATATTTTAATTGATTACATAATTGAAATTCCACTTTTCCTTGAAAATAAATTGACATTTTCATTATTATTATTCATTTAAATTTTAAATTCCACTTTAAAGTTTAAAACGTATACGTAAATTGTATTAAATTCAGCATCTGCTTTTGATTTTTCTAAACGAATTTTCATTTTCATTTTCACTTTCCATTTTTTTATTTGAAATCTATTCCTATTTACAACAGCGTTCCCACTTTATTTTTTGATTGTCACTGCCGTACCAGTACATGCGTTCGTTTACGTGCACCGATGAACCATGTAATCCACCAGACAGAACCGCTACTGCTTTTGCGTTGGTGGTACCGTAGACCATTATGACATTTGGTTGATTGAAATATCAAGTGTTAAGTGACCAGTGGCAAATAGAAATATGACACAAATCCCAAATAAAAAATCCCGCAAA